CAAAAAAAAAAAAAAAAAAAAGGATCCCAAGACTCTCTAAAGACTAAGGAATATTCCACATAGCAAAACCTCCATTTTTCTACCCACTAAACACCACCCTTCTTCAACTCTCAAGGAGTTGACCAACTGTGATTTAGGGCTGTCCGTTCTTGTTCCGCCCTCCGTTTCCACAGGAATCCAAGGGTGTCATTGTTTTCTTCCTTTAAACTTGGTCCCAATTAGGATGGAATGTTTTGACTTCACTCCTTATTTTGTCCCTGCTGTGCTGGGCAGAAGGAACTTTTCTCACCATCTCTTCAGAAAATCTTCCCACTGTTCAAAATTAACTTCACACAGAACCATTCTGAATCCATTTTACATTTTCTCATAACTACACAAACTATCTACATTACACACTTTAAACCACATATTCATGACCATGACACTAGTCACTCATGGTGGAGGGAGGTTCAGTTATTTAAACATATATCTGTTACCACTAAACAAGCAAGAGACAAGAAGCAACAGTATATGAGAATGAAGTTACAGTGAGAAAAAGAGGGAATCATTCCATGGTCCCAGACACTTACTTTATTTATGTATACAGTGGTGCCCCGCATAGCGAGGTTAATCCGTTCTGGATTAACCTTCGCTATAGCGAAACATCGCTAAACGGAAATAAAAAAGCCATTGAACTTCGTTCAATGCGTTCCTATGGCTTTAAAACTCACCGTTAAGCGATCTTCCTCCATAGCGCCGCCATTTTCGCGCCCTCGGTAAGCGAGGGCAGGGCGCGAAAATGCGGCGCGGACCTTCCGGCGGCCATTTTGGAACCGCCGATCAGCTGTTCTCCCCCGCTTTGTTATGCGATATTCGCTAAGCGAATCGCTTAGCGAATACCGCAAAGCGAAAAAACGCCATAGGGGCCATCGCTGAGCGAATGCTCCAGCGATGGCCCAGAGCCCCTCGTTAAGCGATTTAATCGCTCAATGGGGCGCTCGTTAAGCGAGGCACCACTGTATATGTATGTATGTATTTATTTATTTACTTATTCATGAACGTATGCCTTGCCATTCTCCTAAAAAAGGACCCAAAGTGGCTTACAACATTAAAAATCATATTAAAGGCTAAAAACAGCGAATGCTCCAGCGATGGCCCAGAGCCCCTCGTTAAGCGATTTAATCGCTCAATGGGGCGCTCGTTAAGCGAGGCACCACTGTATATGTATGTATGTATTTATTTATTTACTTATTCATGAACGTATGCCTTGCCATTCTCCTAAAAAAGGACCCAAAGTGGCTTACAACATTAAAAATCATATTAAAGGCTAAAAACAGCTAAATTATCCAAATATTTAAAAAGAATTAATAACATATTTAAAAGATATACAATATACTTCAAATGTATTTAAAATGTTTGGTAAAAACATTACAAAAATTAGCAAAGATTGAGCCAGCCTGGCTTCCTGTGGGAGGGAGTTCCAGAGTCTGGGAGCAGTGACAGGGAAGGCCCTCTCCTATGTTCCCACCAAGTGCACTTGTGAAGGTTAGAGCTTTATAGATTAAAACCAGCATTTTCAAGTGTGTCCAGAAATGGTTCCAAAGGGAATTTTTCCACTGATAAGGAAGATGTTCAGAGAATAAACTGGGAAAGATAAACTCCCATCCTCTATCCTTCTCCTAAACTCAGGTATCCCCATACTCTTTTACACATGACTGGGTAGCAGATTCATATTTAAACAAGTATGCCAGGTGCCACCATCTGGAGCTTAAGCCGAAGGATTCTGAGGAAGTATATTGTTAAGAATACATTGTAAAAAGGATACTAGCTGCACAAATTTTTGACAAAACAAAGGGAACTTTAATTTTTCGCTTCACAATTTTCACTCCAAGGCTACGTAGCTATGATCTTTGGCACAGAGAATTATGGAAATGCAAGACTAATAAGGTTGAAATTACTTATGCAACAATGTTCGCCTTAGCTAAAGAATGGATCTCATTTTCTAGGACCATGTGTTAGAAGCAAGGGATTACTGTAGTCTCAAGATTCCTATCTATTACAAGAGGCGGGAGTGTCTTCAAATCTAAGAACTGAGATGCCTATTATATTACATTCTCATTTTGTCTACAGCTGTTCCTCTGAAACAAGATTTCTTGACTTTCAATACAAAAGAAGATTGTAAGACATAACAAGAATGTTTAAGATTGCACTGTAGTACAGCAAAATCTCTCAAAGATCTGAAACACATTCATCCAGATATGAAAGGGTGGCACGGAGGAACTAAATTTCCTGGCTTTTTAAAATTGAAGTTTAAGTATACATACTCTATACAAAAATCCCGATAGAAACTTCATTTATGTAGAATTTCCCAATGCTAGAGGATGCCAGAAAATAACCATGTGTTCTGTACTATGGTTGTTTGGAGAGGACAAAAGCAAGAACACCTGGGATATGGCTATAATCCCTTCTTTGTCAAAATATTTTGAAGCTGTTTTCAGCTTAATGAAATGGTGAAGCAAATGTGTGAGTAACTCATACAATGGAGAAACATACACATCCTTTGACCTCTCAGATAAACCAATGTTACCATGCCTGCTCCACAGAATGCAGATTAGAAAGCTATGTTCCAATTTCCAAACCCTTCCTTGGGGCAAGCAACCTGAAGAAGAAAAGCCGTATCAGGCCAAAAGCTATTCGAATATGTTATGTGCATATTTTCCAAAGGAAGCCACCTAGCCTTTTGAATTTTTTTAAAAAGTGGGGGAGCTGGGAGCTAGCAAAAGTTGTCACTGGTAACTAAGGTT